ATATATATATATATATATATATATATATATATATATATATATATATATATATATATATACACATACACGTATACATTAAACCATAAACCACCAGAATAAAAATATAACCTGAGAAATTGTACAACAATATTTCTAGATTACATGCATTTTTCACTAACCTGTTTATCTTCTGTCTCGATTGAAGCTTCATGTACGAGTCACCCAGGTGGTTACTGGCTATGGGCAAACAGGACGAAGCACAGCGTGCGCTTGAGGGCATCTTTCGCTTCAACGGGCGGACAATCCCTGACATGACAAAGACGATGCCCATCTTAGCACAAAAAGCGTCACGGAATCGTTCAAGCAGTAGTATTAAAGATCTAAGGCCATATCGCAATCTTCGAATAAATATTTTCATCATGTTTATTTTGTGGTGTGTATATGTTTTCGATTGTCTCCAGGATAAAAGTCTTTCACTTCATTTAGGTAGGAGCGTCTCACGTTCTCTATCGCTAGTTCTGGTATAGTCCGTTGCCAACTATATACCTTAGCATTGACTAACATGGTTACTTCATATGCGATAGCTTTGTTTTTCCTCTTGTGCTATATATCGGTTTATTTTAGGTCGGTGAGTAACACAACGTTGTTTGGGATTATATACCTCTCAACGAAACTCGGCGGAGATCGGTTCTTCAACTTTACGGCTGCTGCTTGCGCTGAAGTGCCCGCCGGATTTACCGGCCTCTACGTTATTTGGAAGTTTCGCCGTAGAAACTCGTTAACTGCCCTCATGGCAATTTGCTCTGCTGCCCTGATTACCACTGCAATTTTGCCCTTCGGTTAGATCCACGCAATTGTTTTTTATAATATGACAGATCAAAACACGCATTGATTCTACGCGCATTAAATGCTTGCCCTGTTTCTGACTATAAAGCGATTCTCCCACTTTAAATGTACAATTTGTAATTTACAGAGTTGATTTACGCTCGTGTTGCAATGACGTTTGTTGCACGTTTCTGCATCATAATTATTACGGCAGTGATGTGGGTGTTTACAATGGAGCTTTTGCCCACAGCCGTTCGGGGCTTCGGGCTTTCACTGTGTTTCTTTGTTGGTCGGAGTAGCGCCTCGTTTGCGCCCTTCCTCAGAGACCTCGTAAGTTATTGAAGATGACTTTATAAATTATCAGTTACTTAAAGTCAGGGTCATGACGTAGTTAGCTTAGGACGCACAAACGCACGGTTCCCTTTTAAGAGCCTGCACAACTGTATCTTAACTTTTAAGGATGAGACTAATCGAGTCTTATAGACTGTCTGCATAGAACGCGTCTTGCTAACGAAAATTTAGCTTAAGTAACAAATCCGTTTTGCAGACAAAATTTAGCTTAAGAAACTGCAGGATAAATCGTATTTACAAGCAAAATATTATAGAAGAATCATAAATTCATTGCAGCTAAACATCGATCTGTACGTTATAATGCCTTAACAGCCTTAACGAGTTTAAAAAAGGGATCTGAAGATATAGATATTTACTCCAGTCAACTTATATAGAATCAATGTTTTTATCAATTTCGTAAAAAAAATGCTTTTCAGTGCAGCCAGGCATAGAATCCATTGCTGCTCCTTTTGGAGGAGGGCAACTTTGCCAGAGTGAATCCCTCAATATCTAAATTAAATCTACAGAATCGATTGTGGCATACCAAATATATTTAGAAATTACAGAAGAATAAGAACAGAGTCAGAACCTAGAATTTCTCTATAATAAAAATTATGTGTGTGTATTTTTTATCTTCACTTTTGCACGGTCTGCAATTAATTATTCCGATTTGTTTACAAGTTGGTAATAATTTACATGATTACAAAGTACTGTCGCGCAGGTTACTGATAAAATTTTTAGGGGGGAAGGTTTGGCATCTTTCACAGATTGATGCGCTGTACGTTAAACAAGTACGATATTAATAATCTCCTATAGCGCTATCACTGTGATAAACATTAGCTGTTTTGTTTGAAAATCTTTGTGCTTAATACTTTCCCAATATGGAAACTGTTGTTGAATTGTTCATTAGGTTTACATACGAAGTGCCGATTAATGGGGTATGATTTCTGACCTACATACTTTATATCAGATATAAACATGGATGAGTGGCTATGGGGAACCCTAATGTTCGTTCGCCTTAGTAATCTCCGCTGCGAAACCGGGACGTTGTTTCCGAAACAAACAAATTAAGTATACGTATCATTAACTATATTCAATGGTTGCTCATACCATTGATGTCTACTGACTAGCTGGAGTAAAGCTTTTTTTTTTTTGAGAATCTTTGTGCTCAATGCCAAAAGGAAAGGCGACCCGTTCGCCCATATTCATGGAGGACGATCACAAGAAAATTGCTACTATAAGCTTCTGGCCCATTTTATGATACATCGGCAAATGAGGTTCAGGGAAGTTTGCTCGTATTTCTGGCTGAACAACGTGAATTTCGTACGGGACATCCCGCCCTTACAACATGTGTAATACTGCTTCAGAGGGCACATTGCGTTTATCGTGGCCCAAAATAGACGCTGCTCGCTAGATTTCAAGTGGGCATTTAGTATAACTTCCAGAGTCTAAAATTTGAGTAAACCCGGTCGCGTGCGGAAATCTACGGAACATGCGGTATTCAATCGGGTCATCAGTGTAAGCTAGCTGCATAAGCATATAGATGACGGATGATCTAGCTAGAGCTATTAGTTTACTCAAGTAACGTAGAGGGCAATAACTTGAGCCCTTTGCGATTCTCCCTACCGCTGAATGACCTACTACTTCGCGTTTAAAATTATAATTATACACTGTCAATCTTGCCGTCTTTGGAAAAGCTGGTTTCATATCCAGTAAGCTTTCGCTGGCCTGTCGTGCTACAGGAGCGTCCGCGTGATAGCCTATTCAGTGATACATTTGCCTGCAGATCGTAGGTAAACACAGGTTGTGGTCCTATTTCGCGCAAATCAAAACGAAAAAGCGAAAACTCGAAAGAACGTCGATGAAGCTGGACTGTTAATCAGCATGGACAAGTTAGGAACTACGAAGCTTCGCCGTAAAGCCCCTCGTTGTGTTTATGCTGCGCTGTTCATAAGGATTTGAAGGTATACCTTCAAGTATTTTGGGGCGATCTTGCCCGCAGGGGCAAGGGTGCCCGCAGGGGTGATCTTGCAGGTACGTTACGAACAGAGTGCGACGAGCAACGGTTGCAAGTATAAAAATACATATGCCCTTAGAAGTTTCCTTGCGCAGGACGTTAGCCATGTTTGACATAATGGTGGCTTTGATTGATCTCTATAGAGCTCCAGTTGTGTCGTTTGGAATCACCCCTTCTTCAAACAACTCTGTTTCGAGTTTTATCTTCGATATCGCTTTTATTCGGTTAGGTGTTCGATTAGATAACTGGCTTCCACTACTACATGATATATGTCTATGTTCGGGTTCGAACCGAAGATTGGCAGGCAAATACTTTGCCCACTAAGCTATCACGGGGCCAAATCTGTACGAACGAAACCTTGCTGCTTCTGAAAAAGCGCCATGCGTCTGCATTGCCGTTGAACGGGTTTGTATACCTTCTACACGATACACTGGTAGAGGATCTGAGATGCAGATTTTTATGTCTATTCGAAATATTGCAGCGCGTGGAGAAAAAGACCGACACAGGGATCGCAGTACATAGGTTAATTAATCTGATATGCGCGACAATGTAATTCGTCAGGGGATTACATGTACTTCTAAAAGATTTGGCATCTTTTGCTTCAGGCGACATGCGACGTCATCCGTCGCAGTACCGTCGCTGGCCAGCCTCTTCGACTAGATACATTAATCTTGAAATTTGGCATTTTTAATTCATATGTCAGCACAATATAATTGTAATATTTAACTAAAACTAAACGATCTTATATATTGAAGTTATGAACTACATATAACTATTAGTAAATACAAATATCTGCTGAATAAGTTACGATTCACTCCTATACAGGCTGACATCTACAACCCAGCTCCGTTCCTCGTACTGGCACTCTTAACTGCTCTTAGCGGTCCCTTAATTCGGATAGCTCCCGAAACTCTGGGGCGACCGCTTCCTGACACTCTGCTCGAGGCGGATCAGATAGGACAGAGGAAGAGAACTGTGAACGATGTCTAGAGCGCAGTGCCTGCAACCCTGTATACTGGTTGGTATATTTGTTTGATTGTGTAGAGATACTATAGGTCTATGAGAAGAAAAAACTATGCGTTAAGCATTTTGTTGGGCATCGGTCCAAATTTGAACGAGTGATCTAAGATAAGCATTTATTTAAAGTTATCTTCTGTACCTCAATTTACGCGCCGTTCAGTTGTCATCCCTGAACTTCATTACCAAACGTCGTTTTTGGTCATCAAGACAAACAAGTTAATTCTGAGATTTAGGCCTTTAATCGAGCTTCGGGCAGATAAAGCATCTTTCCGTATATATTAAGTGCCATCTATGTTGTCTTTCCAGAGATTTCAGGCGATACTTGGCAAGTGTAAAATATTTTGGCCTGATACGGGCGGGCAGCCTTCACGAACGTCAATATCATGGATGAAGCGCCAAAACGTTCCTGCTTCACAGAATAGATAATTACAGCACTTCGTAAAACGCCATAATGTGTATATGGAAGAATACGTAATAAAAAAAAAAACATTAAACAAAATACATTCGCACAATATGAAGCTGTTATATCCAATCGTTTCTATGTGATAGGTAACTTCTATCTCTTATATATCACTCACATCCATACGTACATATATACCTAGTAAGCCAGACACAGAATAGAAGTATATGTGATTAAAAATATTTGTTCATCATTGCAAGGCAAAGCAAACAATATAAACTAGACGTTTAACGTATAAAAATACCATCCAATGCTATCATTCGATATGTGACGTATTGAAGGCCAGACGTGTGCACCACCCGAGATTTTTTTGTTCGGTCCTCTTTAGCGTAACGGTAGTTCTGACGATTATAAGGCACGACCTTCATTAGATATTGTTTCGCATCCGTTATGATATCGCTCGCTGTTGCTGTCATTTGCGTCACCTTTTTTCAAACGGTCGTTGTCGTCTGAGGAGAGAGGCAAAGTTGAGGGTGGGGATGTGCAGAGGGGCTGGGCGACCTCCTCCTCGCGAGCGAGCGAGCGAACGAACGACTTGGCTCGCGACTGCTCGTGTCGTCTAACCAGCGATACAGCGGCAGCCCCAACATGACGGTGAAAGAGGCAATCGGGCTCTGTTGAAACAGACAGGGCCACAGTCGAAGATAGCGCGAGATGAATGTCTACGCTCAATCGAACTTGTGCGACAACGATTTTGTTGTTCTCTAGGGCACTTTCTATAGGCAAGCTGAGCTGCGTTGTAGTCAACAACGTCTTCGGATCGTTCGGTTATTGTCTTCGGAAAGCAGAAGCCTACGCAGGTTTCCTGAGACCCCGAAGTACGTTCTTCGAGCATTTTTCCTTGAAGTAGAATTCTTTTTTTACTGAAAACCAGTGGAGTTGTGCTAATAGTTCAATAGGTTGAGGATCGATTAAACAGCAAACGAAGCATGACGGATGCGCACTACAAAATGTGAACTTTTCGAAGCCGCTAGTAACGCTCGAGGGATCCTTTCTTCGTGTGTAACTTTTACGAAGCATCGGGTTGTACATTATAATGCCTGGAAGGCCCAATTTTAAATGTGCAACGGTTAATTAGCTATAATTAACGTCTATGTTATCAATAAAACGCGAAACAATATTACTGAATCACGATACGATGCTAGCGTCATGCAAGCTTGTGATTATAGTAGGATTACGTGGAGACGAAGCCGCTTTTCCTGTTAATTTGTTTAACTGTAGTGTGTCAATCCCAATGTTAACACTGTAGTTAGTGATGTCGTGCTGATGTCATCTGATGCTTGACTTCGATAATCATTATGATCTCAAGCGCACTTGAGAAAACCTCCAAGCGCGTTGGCGCGCGTGATCGGACCTCGTCCATTCGTACCGCGGCCTCGTCACTTAGTCATTCTACGATCAGTGCCGACCATCATATATTATCGAACATTGGACAGCTGGTCATTCTGGAATCGAAAACCAGTACATGATCATGGAAGATCCAAAACCTTCTAGGATCATAACATGTGTATTCCGTGTTTTCGAAGCCGACATATGCACAGACGGAATTAGCGAATCACATCGGGACTCGTATAGCCGGGTTTGATATGTGGCGCGCGATTGAAGCTCGGTATGTAGCTATAGAGTTTTACTCAAAGCACTACAGTGGTTTATCGGCTGATCAAAGCTGTAGCTTCAAAGAGCAGATGATGACTTCCAGATGCGTTCCACTAAGATGGCACAGATGGCAGTTTCAGCAGTTCGAAGATCGGCTCTGGCATTGCTAACGGGATTCTGGTTAGCCTTAGTGATATGGACACCCTCCAATGGCGATCTATTGGTGTTGCAAAGCAAAAACTTAAAGTTAGTTGATGACAATGGTCTGCGCGGCACGAACTCTGCGTTTGCCGGCAACTTTCCACAACAGAACAAATCACTGATAGCTAAGCATGTAATTACCGATGTCGATATTGCACGATTGCGACGGAGAGCCTTACCGTTAACCGAACACGGTCAAGAGAACTCCTCGGAGAGGCATCGCATTGGGGAACCAACGTCTTTTCGTCGTCGGAAACCAACCCAAGACAATCGGCGTGACGATAGTACCCGTATAGCTCCTCGTAAGGTCAAAGACGATATTCTCCGAGTGAGGGATGCTTTGCAAGCACAAATATCTACGACGAGGGTTCTGCTCGACAAAACGCATGACGAAGCCGGCAGGTATACAGGAAAGCCAAAACAATTCGTAAGAGAAGTAAATCTCACCCAAGAAAGATCCGACGAAGAAAGCAGTGACAGTAACATCCTTGACGAGGTGTTTATTTCTGTTAAAACGACAAAAACTAATCATCGAACACGGTTGCCTCCAATACTTCAAACATGGTTTCAACTCGCACGAAATCAGGTTTGTCGTATTTAAGGCCTAAAAGTCTTAAGGCAATTGAAGATCCTTCATTTCACATTTCAACGAAGAGCAGATTTAGTCATGACACTCGTTTGACCTAAGATAATTCCTACAATCCTATAATATTAAGTGATAATGTCGCAAAGTTCAATAGTTACAACGTCACTACTCTGGACATTCAAGTGGTTCTGTTAATTAACCTAACCTAACCTAACCAGCCTGAGATATGGTTAGAAATGTATCAAACGAGTCTCTGTTATAAATCAGTCTTTTTTATTAGGACAATTCACGCATTTCTTACTGCTTTAACAAATTTGGATGAATACCCTCCAACCGTCCGAAAATTTATATATATATATATTGTTTAGGATATAGCATTGTTCCATGTAGATCTATAATTAAATCTAGTTCTGATATTAACACGATATAAATAATAGAAATTCAGGTTCTGATAATAATTCCTACATCTTTTTTGGCTGATAGTCAAATTTGCCAGATCTTGTTACGCTTTGTTGTGTTTACTGAGACAGCCATTCGTTTCCAAATTATTTATTTCTGTTTTTGCTGTGATGTTGAAATCAGCTCTCAAACACAAGTCACAATTACATACAGCGTCGACATAGTATGTTTAGAAAGGCGTCTCGGTATGAACATACAGATTTCTCGTACTTTGGTATTCCTTGAAACCAATCTAAAAAAAAATCTCAACTTCTTCAAGGGTTAGAGTCGAACTACACAGTTCGATGGCTCAGGACAATACGTAGAAGTTCTACAATGCAAAATGAATCATACTACTAATCAAACACCCTTGTCCTGACGTTCTTCTTCTAAATGTTTTCTAGCCAATACGGGAGACCAAACGTAGGACTACCCAGAAGGCTTTAGGGGCGTGGGAGTTTTGGACAATACGATCGTTCGTAAACGTAGCTGACGCTGTAGCGCCAAAAATAACGGAAAATTTTCGGAAAGCTTATGTTGCTCAAGTTTATTATTTGTTTTTTTTTTTTTCGAAGATGTCTGCACCAACCTATTTCGTCAGAAATATCGATGCGAGAAGGATCGTTTAGGGGCGAAATGTTTAGGTCGTCACCTTTTAAATGATTAATAAAAATCGTTCCAGTATAGGCAAAATTGCCCTGCACGCATAGTGGGCATTATAGAAAAAATACGTGGACGGTTGCCAGTGTTTTATTATACGCTGATGTACTTGCGTTAATACTTGCGGTTACAGTTTCTTATCGAATCAAATTTAGATAGATTTTGTCAAAGCTTACATTTAGCTTTCTAATTGAGGTCGAGCCATATGGCACAATGCAATACGATCGAGGTAACTTTCTGTCTGCTAATCAATGGACTGTGTGTACAGATTCGTAGACACGTTTTACGATAGAAGTCTAGCTTGGCCTCAGCTCTTACGTTAGGGTAATTTCATTACCCGGGTTACGAGCAGATGAAGGATTCCTTTCAAACTAATTCGAATTAGGCTATATTGGAAAATGTCCCACTATGCAAATTCTATCTAAATCATTTTTATTTCTCAAGCTACTCGTCGCTACTGTCGGTTTTGCAGCATCATGGCGACGCTTTATTTTTCTAATTTTCGAAGTTCGTGAGTAGTCGTCCATTTTGGACACTGTTGGGCACCATCTCTCCCAACTGATAACGAAAGCTTTTCTAGCTAGATTATGAATTAGCTTAAATCTCATTGTCGTCGTTGCTGTTTATCTTACTGCTTTGACTATGCTATATACGAAGTTTCGCTGCCTTTTTGCACCTCTCTTGCTAAACGTTGATTTATTCTGTAGGTTCGTAAACTGGATAAAGGCAAGAACAATTCCTGCGGAGAAATATATGGCTACTGCTGTCCACACAGTTTTTGTTTCATTCAAAATAAACATAACTGAAGAAAAAATATAGCGAAAGAGATAGTATCATATGTAACAACGATCCGCCATTTATGTCGTAGTAGCAAATAGGAAGAAGCTAAAAGGCAGCAGAAATACAGAGCCAAAATGAACCATCTCAATACCGTATTCTTGCGCTTTCTTTCGAAGTTTGAGTCGAAAGGTCGCCAGCGCAAAAGGGAAAACGGAATTTTTTATGTAGCGCGGCATCAACTGATTGTACACTACCGCCTACAACCAAAGCCTTCTGTTAGGGTAAACCTTTTTGTGTAATGCTATTTTTAAGGAGAAGGAGAAGAAGGACGGTAACATTGAAATGGAATTAATTCGAATCTTTTCCACGAAATGCTCATATGATTTGTACATTGCTCCTCAGAACTGGTATTTCTATTCTCTACAGCCGTCCTGCCGCTCTGCTAAGGTACACGTTAGGCGTAGATTCAGCAGGGTAGTGTTTTTTTTCTTCATTAAATTTGACAAAAATCATAAAATTTAAACCTAGACGATATATGTGTGTATAGACACCCGTTTGGCATGGAACAAGAAATGAGGGAACATTTTAAAACGGCCAGTTAATAATTCCGGGCATCAGCATAAAGATATCGCATCACGCTTGCTAACGAACTCCTCTCGAATAGTTATGTTTAGAAAACGTAACGATGGCACAAGGGTCATGGCTTTTTCTGTCGTGTATTTGTGGGTGTCGCGCGTCTGTACCGCCGCAAGCAGATATCATTTCTAATCTAGCCGTGTTTGCATTGAGCCTATTCGTTTCAACATGCAGTTGGAAAAAGAAGGGAATCACGCTACACTAGGAGTGCGGCTGATAGCAGTTGTCGCTACTGGTTCTACCGTTTTTCGTGTTGTTGTTGTTTTCATATCCGATATAGTGCGGTCGGCTGATTAAATCTTTTGACCGTCCGTCTGCGCACTTCAGTCTAGTTCACGTCATAACGTGACACTGTGACTCGATATAATGGGACGGCGTTGACGCTCATCGGATAGCCGGACGCAGGGAGGTAGCGGCAACTAGAAAAAGGGATTTGTTGTTGTTAGGATCTCTATAGCATGGTTGTACCGGCTGCGTAATGGCTAGTCGCATTAATAGCGCCAGTCACATCACTGCTATCGGAGGTGGTTCTTATGTTGGAGCTTAGACGAGGAAGATGCTAATTATTTTCTTAGTAATTTAAACACAATTATATTTCATCGTTTTACTGAACTGTATGATATCAGTCTGTGTATGAGCATAACGTCAAAGGTTTTTAGGTTGATACGCGCATACAAGTAGACAAACCCCAGCTGTATTTAACAGTTGCTATAGTCGGAAGATATATACTACTCAGGACTGCTCTTTTGGACCCATTTGTTGTTTTTTTTTTTCTACTCAGTGTATCTGAACGCTCTAGCCGGCAAAAACCGGCAAGCCTACAAGAGACTAGGGCCAGTTAAGATTGCATTTGCTCAACGAAAGCGATGTCATTAAGGATGGTTGTTGTTGTTTATTTAATCCTTAGTAGCCTGTTCCTAACAGAACTTACGACTGAGAGATTAATACGTTCGTGTGACGCATGAGAAATAGAGGAACCTTCAGAGTCAAAATATAATATTCTGCTCATTTACGTTCTTCCCTGGACTAGAAAACTGTCGGTTCTCGCTAGCAACTCATTGATCTTAAGTATCACAATATCAACGGTATTCACTGCGGGACTGTAAAAGGTGCTGGCTAGCCAGTGACCGCCAGCGGTGCATTGGAAAGACTTTTAAAACGACCTGTTTCTTGAAGGAATCCGACAGCGTATCGGTCGGCACCCAGCATATGCCAAGTCTAACCGGCAGAATGTGTTGTAGTCGTTGGTTTTCGAAATACGGGCTTAAGGATCAACACTGTGTTCTTCCTAGCATGCGGAATAAACGCGATTCTGGCGCGCATCGACCAATGTTTTCTCGAACAGAACTTAGCACGACAACGCTATAGGTTTTAAAGCCTGCCTGCCTGCCTGCCTGTCTACCACAATGGCCCGATTGCTGATAAGAGAGGCCACCGTTGTTGTTGTTGTGGTGACTACCAAGTTCTTCCACTTAGAGCTAACGTCGTAGATGCGTACGCGTGTATAGTTCGTGCGCTAGACGTGGCGATCAGCAGTTACGAGGTCCCCTCGTATGATTCTTATTTAAGGACGAACGAAAAAGGCCACTAAATAGCCAAGAAGAGGCACAGACTTATCGGTAGTAAACTATATATCAGTTTTTTGCTCTAAATGGTTTCGATAAACCTGTTTACTATGGGTAGTTTACACGGGGGAGGAGGATGCATTATTCAAGTAGACGTCTAGATTACGGAATTATCCATGTCGAGAAATGAAGCAGAAAACGAAAAGGAAGACAACAATTAAGTGTGTATTTGTAATTGGTCGAAATGTACAAGGATCGTTATGTACGTAGCATCCGACCTAACGGCACACGTCGCTGTATTCATCGCGTGGTGATTGTTTTCTATGGTGACAAAAGTCCGTCGTACAGAACCTGTGATCTATAGATCCTCTTTTGTAATACGTGTACGCTGTTACTATGAAAAATTCCGTGTTCCGGTGTGCATATCTATGTAGAATTCGATAGCTTGCTATTACTACGATAATAGTCAAAAAGGTACAAACAACAGATATGTTACCTTGCATAAGTTGAAAGCAGATTTGGCCAATGCTTTAGAGCTAAATGTTGTTTCTCTTCTTTTCTTGCAGACATATTTCTTTAGTGACACTGACGATGGTGAAATCGCACGGGCCAGTGGTAAGTACGTTAGCCCAGAAGCTTGGGTTTGTTTAGGAACGGATACTGCTCCTTTTGATCTACAAATAACCTTGATTGAGTGGTAGCTGTCGCTAGCCGGTCTTTTCATTTTTCAACGTTAGCTCAAATATGCATATGATCTGCTACTCGCTTATTTCGCACGTACAAGTTTAATCGGCTGAAACTTAAGGTCTTTCAGCCAGAAAGTTGTGCTCATACCGTGCAGGTAGATACATTTTGCTTCTATGCTCTTGGCTATATATATATATATATTGAAAGTTTGTTGCTGCAAGACGGCTACGCAATACGGCGTACTTATTTCGTAGTTACTGCATATTCTTTTACGATTAATAGTCCCTTGATGATTTTTTCTATTCGGATTATAGTTAAAACTTTTTATTGATAGCATATATCTATCTAAGTCTGTGAGATCGGTTTCTTTATTGAGCAGTGATCGCCATTCCTAGATTATCCATTTCTCCCCCTTGTCTTCTCCCCGTTGCATCGAGATATTTTTCTGGCATAGACCTCGACACACACGCAAACATATATACATATATCCAGAAAAACAGCCCAGATGATCAATTTCATATAGAAAACGAATACTAATCCTTACGATGGGCATTCGCGGATGGATGTTGTCCTGAATCCATTCGAACGATACAGCAACACCTATGTTCGAGCCGTGTCTTTTGCTCTTGCTTTAATCTTATTAATTTAATAATATTTCCAGTTTTTATTCATACTTCAAAGCTAAGTTATGCCAATGTATGTTTGGTGTTTCCTCAACTTAGTTATTAATCAGCCATCCTTCTCGGGCTTTCATTGGGCAAATTCAGTCACCTGAAATACAATAGTAATTTAAAAAGAAAATTAATTTTTTATTTAAATTTGGTTCGTTCATTTATCCGATTATGGAGAATTACATGCTGAGTATTACAGGTACAGATGAAATATATAACGAACGTTTTGTATCTAAATTCTTCATATAAAAATGAAAACAGATGACGGATTTAGCCTTAAGGACGCCTTTTTTAGTTCCGAAATAGAACAGAAGCGGCAATAGCACCGACTGTAGTGCAAGTAACAGGCTTTTTACGAACAGTCAAGATATATCTGTTATATCTGAATGCGTAAAACGTTAACAGGAAGAGGGTGAGTTAGACATTGGTCAAATAAAAGCTTATTTTGGTGTATGACAAACTGAGACCGGTGTTCCGCTTGTACTATCGAATCAAACTGACTCAATAGCAAAAGAGACGGAGACAACAAAAAACGCGTTATGCGATTTCGCTGGTATCTTATAAGATCAGTAGAACTGGACATATAGAAATACAATTTGTTGCATCAGAAGTTGGGGCCAAGTGCTTGGCCGGACAAGTCGATGGTCCAGTTATGAAGAACAATCCCATAATCTAGATAACGCATATGTTGCAACACAATTTCTCATTCGTTTTAATTATATTTATAGCGGCGTACATTGATTGTAAATTGTATCTTGTTTTGCCTCTACTTGTCTGCATAGACTTAGCATACTGACCTAGGCAAATTTTAACATGTCTGTAGATAGGTACATCGTATTTATTTAAAATTTGTTTCCCTTTGCGAAGGAATGGATAAATGGAAGATTCTCGTAACTAACTGTTACACGTGCTTTTAGTATAGTTTATACCACGAGCATCCGTTGAATTTTTTCCCTAAGGAAATTCTTTCGTTATTTATTTATCCTAAATCACAATAAACTATTGACTACATTGTTTAGCGTGTTAGTGTACATGCCCATACTGCTTACAATGTAAGATCAACCTTATGCATGTCACAAGATCATCTTGATTTATTTCACGTAAATTTATTTTTTTTCCATTTGCCGGGCCAACTTGTGGTGAATGACCATCTACTTCGAATGTTGATTTAAAAAACGTTTCTTTTTAAGTAATTTCAGCTCATATAATTTATGACACTCTGTTGCCCTTGTCAATACGTTGTTTCTGATATATATATATCGTGCTATTTTTATATTTCTACTTTCAGGTGGCCACTTGGTGGTAACAGGCTGCCCGATCGGTCACTCTCGGCGAGCTCTAAGCTGTAAAATGAACTCTGAATTCGACGTGTTTGCCGCCAGCAACCGCAGTCAAAAAAAGTGAGTCCAACAACGACTTCGGATCGACGTTCGTTCTACCTACCTATGGATTTCGTTTTCGATTCATTGTCTAGTATTGCTTCGAATGGTAATAGCAGTAACACGGGATACTACTACTATTATCAGAGACTTACTGTAACGTTAACAACCTCTGGCCCTCACGGTCAGTTGTGCAGCTATGAAGTGGGCACGCAATCGCATGCTACCATCCTACTGGCAAATGCCCTCCAGCAGTCGCCGTTTTTCACAACCCCGTCGTCCGCCCCTGCCACCATCTTTTTTTTCATATCGTTGCCTTTAAGCATTACTTCAACCGCAACCAGCCGGCCAATCTGTCCCGAATCGGCCTGTGTGTATAGTCATGCAGCCTGATTCTTGCCCAAACCCCTCTGCGCCTCGCGTTGATCTTTACCATCAGCGCCTTGGTTACTGGGTCCCGGTTTGAAAAAATCCGTGAGAACCTTACTTGCGCTAGGCTGTAAGGATCTATGGTTAGACGGCAGTCGTAGTAGCAGCAGCAGCAGCAGCAAGAAAGAAGCATATAAAGGAGAGAAAAGTAGATAAAGGCGAGAAAAATAGGTTTCCAAAAGACGAGAGCGAAAACATCGTAAAAGCACTACGGCTTTTTCTAGGAAGCCTGCGCGACATTGGCTTCTGGTGCCATTGCGGTCATCGTGCGATCATCCTGTCATGGTTGGCATCCCAGACCGACCAGGCTCCCAAAAATGAGATTGGCGTAAAAGGAGGTGGATACAAGGGCAGGAAGTCTAAACTTCGCGCCACGAGAACTCTTTGTCATACTTTTCGTCTATTTGTTTTCCATCGTCGAGTTTCTATGGGACGGCGGCAGAGAGCCAGACTCAAAACACATAGTATATGGAAGCAGAAGGAAAAAGGAGGAAGCCGGACGTTGAGAGATATGGGACTGTGCTTGTCGTGCCGTTGAATTTTCACTTGTTTGCACGAACGGCGTTCCCCTTCTACGAGCTTCGTTGTGTCGTGTTTATGTAAGCATTTCTGTTGCTGTTGCTACTGCAGCGCTTGTCCATTTTTGCTTGGTTAAATCTACCGTTGTTATTCAAAGTTGTCTTTACTCGCGCTCAGGGTACCCTTCTCTCGCCCCATTCATCTGCCGTCACAGCTTTTTCTCGATATTCAGGCGCGGATCACCTGGTCAAAGGCCACGTGACGGTAGCTAGCGGTGCGGCAGTGCCTTAGGTAACTGGGGCTCGCGTCTGCAAGACAGAAGGCGTTGTATTAATTAAGCCTGTTTTAAAAATAACAAACTCATATACGGAAAGAGGAAAATAAAGGGCTCATTTGCACCACATATAGAAGCTATATATCGTATTATATAAAATATAGGGATAAGTTTCTCGATGTAAACGTTGCAAAAATTGGTCCGCTATTGTGCTAAAGTTTATGTGAATTTGATTATCTACAGACTTCCATTGCGCTTAATAAAATGGCATTTCTTTACTCTCTTATAATTTTTCACCGTTTATTTACAATAGTTATGTTTTATCATAGTCGTTTTGAACTGTGGTTTGATTTTCTTTGATACGGAGACCAGGTTTCTTCATCAGTCAGTTTTATGACTGTTTTCCATGCTCCATGTGTCAGATCTAATGTGTAAATTTAGAAAAAGAATCTATACGCAAATAAGAGGGGCGAAAAATAGAAAATTCTAACCGGCTTTTCGTGGCCACTGTGTCTAACGGTGATGAACCGTTACTTATATAGATGATTCTTAAGTATATGTGAAAAGTAGTTTAACTAGAAAAATGAACAGGAATCCTATGCACCCTTTCTAGTTTAGCCTTAATCACAGTCTCAAAGCACCCGGCAAGAGGAAACATTTTTTATTTGGTAATTCTCTTAATTAGGTGGTGGTGTCACTTCGATGACGATAATTACGTAAATGTGCCTGCGCTGGGCAAAGTTCTAAGACGTTACGATTCTTCGCGCGTCTGGTACCTGGGTAGAAACTCCATTATGAGGCCGATCGATCTTAACACCAAAGACTGGGTAAGTACTTGACAATTTTCGGTTGTTGGTAAAGAAACTGTGAAGAAACTCTATATTAATTAATGTACTTTTGTGAATCTCTCTGAAGGGCAAATTCTTTTGGGTTGTTCCTCCGTCTAATTAACAGTGGACAGTTTACATTTGGCGAAGTTACTATATTGAAAGCACGCGGTCACATTTGTATAATAAGTTATAAAGAAAAGTTGAAAACGGAGTCGTCAAACTACAAGTATTCGTACCATATGGTATTAGGTATCGTGACACACTACTACATCGTTAATGCCTGTTTGTCCATGAGCTTTAATCCAGGTTTTTTTTTTTCTAATTATAGGGGTCAGTTCGGTTCCGTTTTGCGACAGGTGGTGCAGGATTTTGCATTAGCCGCGCGTTGTCCGACGCACTGGTGCCTTACGCATTGTTAGTAGCAACATGCTTTGATAAGTAGATAAGTAAATATTGAAAGTCAGCTTTGTTTTTTCAGAGGAAAATACCGTTCTGATCACTCTGCCAGTCGGTTAATATACTGTTCTACTGCAACGTTTTGCAACATATGAAATACATTTGCCTGAGAGCCTCAACTATCTATTAAGTTCATTGGCATATAACATCGAGGGGCTGCTCTTCACTTTTATCGAACAAAGTAAATTTGGCTCGTTCATTTTTGAAGTTATGTTCTGTTGCAAAGATAACAGCAAGACAACAAATAAAATACATCAGTAGCTTCTGTTATCCGACTACGAAAAAGAGGATCGGTCTTCACCTCGCTTGTAGAATCGTGATCTTCTGTATATTTCTGCTCAGCTCTCCTGCTGCTTCTGTGATGCGTTTGCTGCGTTCCTCTCGTTCTTCGTTTTCTGCGCCGTACAAAAAAAGCCTTCGTTCGCACGCGTATCAATCGCTCTATCGGATTACACGCGATTACGATTTTCGTCGATGATGAGCGGAAAAAAGTTCTCTCTTGCACTTCTCTTGCTTCACTCTTGCGACTCTGAAAAGGATGTAGCGATTCACAGCACTGAATATCCTGTATTTCTGTTGATGGAGCAGACGTTCATGGAAACATAACTTAAACGAAAAGTTTGCTTCTATTTCTTTCCATTGATGAATCATAGACGTAGAATAGGAGCGAGCTAAAAAAAACATATATATATATATATATATTTCGAACGTCAAACACCATAACTTTTAGTTAAACGTTCACACTTTTGAACCAGAAAGATGGACGCACGCTTACCCCACATATTATCCCACCTCAAAAAAATGCACTGTCTTGTAGAATATTTTCGATGCCGTTATGAACGCCCCACGAAGCACTATCCTCGATGAGAGGACAAACATCGGTACTTGAAAAATGGGCCCTTCCCGCGAAAAAACGTTGAAAGTCTTTTTTTACCATTGTTGAATTCTTCTGTCGTGTCCTGAACAAGGCCGCACTTAATGTGGATTATTTCTAAGAAGATCAGGAGAGATCATCTGAAGATGGCTATGTACGTTCCATTTGGTATCGAATAATTGGCCGCACTGTTTGGCCCCTTTAGACCTTGAGCCAAAACATCAGATCATGTTTGGTCTATCTCCATAAACTGTTCTCCTGTTAAGCCATACCCCTCACACTGTCTCTTCGTTCTGCGTTGGCGGCACCGGCGATGTTTACCTCTGACAGAATTCTGTCTGATGATAAAGAAGGAGCCCTCGGTCAGTTCCCTGCTTGACCGCAACACTTTGCCTTGTATACAGATATAATGCTCTCCACGCGCTTGGAAGAGCAGGTAGCTAGCTATCAGGTGAGATTATCGCGCTTTAAAATTCCACAGCTGTTTTGTTCGGGCACTTTATTCTTGTGGCTGGATCAGCTCGTCTGTTTAGACGGGCTGATTCCTCTTCATTGAGGCCGCGGCGCCCGTGCGGTATGCCAGTGGTATTTTTTGTCGGCAGTATCTATCTGCCTATCTATTTAAGTGGCATTGTCGATCTCACGCTGCACGTCCGCTGGTCGCGTGGACTTTCCGATACGCTACTAATCGAAATGGCGTTGTTACACTGCCAAAGTCTGCTGATGAAGAAAAGGTTTTTCATCAATGCTGCCTCCTTTCTGTCTCTGCCTTTTCTGTTCGTAATCTTTGGCGTTGCTACTTGTTTATCCGTTTGGAGTCGGAGTCAAAATGGCCTGCGGCTTTGGCGGCTTGTCGGGTGCGAGCCAAGAGCTGTGGTGCGAACAAAACAAGGAAGAGCATGGGTCGAGGTACCGAGAAGAGCAGCGCAGTAAGAAGATACAGAAAAGGTAGAAGACAGGGCCTCATGGAATGCTTGCAAGACAAAGGCTGTGGAACGATCAGCATCAAACACCGCTAGCCTCATCAATAAAAACTACTAACACCAATGACAACAACACCAGCTAGCCATCAGTCAACGAAACAACATCACTCACTATTCATGCATCAAAGTCAATTAACTATCGGGATCAATCGACCTCGAACTTAAACAAGCCAAGTGGCCTATATCGTATACGTATGTCATGCGGAGGTTTATAGGAACCACCTTAAGCAGTTAATGTACTTCTATGGGATGACAGAGTGTTCAGACGAAGTCGCACAAGATCGAGTTTTCAGAAAGCGGATAAGCCCAAGATTAAATATTAGAGCAATAAAGAAGTGCCAATAACAGCAGAAAACGTATACGGACACAATGATGGCACGGATAGATGACGCCAACGGCTCTCAAGTTTTATTCGGGTCGGGGTTTTCGTCGATAGACAATGCTAGACAACGGACTACGATCAATATAATATAATGTGGTAGATTAAACACAAACAGATACAGTCATTAAAGGAATAATACCCTGTTCGTCTGTCTGGGGGCATCTAAGTTAATAATGGCTCGAATTAAGACTTATCAAGTTGATGGGCCACTGGCCAAGACACTTAAAGCTTAAGCCGTTTGTACGTCTTTGAATAAATAAAACAAAATATATATAATAATCCTATTCGAATAATAGGTTGTTTCCAATATTACAAATTTCACTGCCATAATGATTTAATGTAACGCGCGTATGAGTACCAGCTATCTAATATTTACTAGAAGAATATAAGTTGTTTCATTGACCGCTTGTGTTGTACGCCATATAAGCCATCTATTTCAAGAGCATTCACTGTTATTTCAGCGCGGGTCGTTTAGCCCAGCTCTCGGATCGGATCCGTTTACCAGACGACGTCACTGTGGGCTTTCTAGTCGAGGTAAAGTTTTGTTTTCTGATCCGAGTCAATAATGTTTTATCAGACCCCTAATGTAAATTTTATTACACGAAATCTGCACTTATTGACTGGGCAAATAAAAAAAAAAAGAATAATATTGCGAACCTATTAAGCATTTTATATATTGTACAAATTTGTGTACAATAAGTGTCTATCGATGTTTTCGTTCTCATAAAAATTAGAGTGTACGTCCTGAATGGTGAAATTAACCGCAAGGCCATCTGCTCAAGTAACTTGTTATTATATCACGTGTTTGCCCCTCTAGCGCGAAGATCAGCTGAGTGTTTTCTATAATAGGTTCCAGCTCTGGCACGAGAATGTCTACGCAGCGCTAGCTGTAAAAATATTTTCCGGGATACTTTTATAGTGTACGTTCTATGTGTTCCTAACGCGTTTCCAAAAAGCCAGTTGCGTAGCCCTGCTGGCGTATTCATTTGTAAGCGCTTAGCTTTTTTTTTTTGTAACTGATGAAAGCGTTAATTTTCTAATTATAGGTAATAGTGGGGGCGAAGCTCACGGTTGTACCTGGATTCCATTCTCATCTAGAGGAAATGAAGCTTCTAGAGGGTCCTCTCAAAGATCAAATAAGTTTGAGTTATATGAAGAAAAGGAAGAATTTTGTTGGGCTTGAACAGCGTTTACCAAACGACCCAACTAGGTGAGCCCAGAAATGCACATCTATTATGTAAAGAAAGATTCGGGCTATCCTTATAAATATGAATATCCGAAAGATACTCTAAATTTGCTAAAAACGATTCTTGAATAGCTGGAGGAATTAACGGCACAATGTCTATTATTTGCAGCGAACGTCTCTAGTCGTTTTGCAAACACTGTTAATTGTACGCGCGTCCTGTACAATATAATCTTCCTTAAAAATAAACACTTTTTTAATCATCTGAACATTTAATCACGCATTGTATTATACATTTTCGTATGTGGATCTTTCGTATGATGTAAAAAGCGGCACGGAAGGAAGCAAGGAGCCAAATACGGGATTCGATGGTGCTTCGGATATGGTCAATAGAATAGATATGACGTAAGCTATGGATACGTCAAGTCGACTTCTGATAAACGGTTCCAATATTTGACATTTTCAGATTCATTTCTATCCATTGCGTGCTTTTTCCTTCGGAGCATCTCTGCACCCGACTGCAAGCGAAACATAGTAACTAACGCGTGACGGCTGTCTCTGTGAAATAATAACATCTGCGCTATGAACAGCTCACCTTTCGATAATGATAGTTCCGAACTTGAATTGTTATCGATTTATTACAGTTAAAAATTAGTTAATATGATAATAAATAATTGTTATTTTTAATTAAATTTATGATATTTCAATTATTTCATAGAAATGGCTCGTGGCCAGCCAACTAAACAATGAAATGGAGTCTACTGGAGAAGAGTCTACTAAACGATCAGGATGGCTGGCTATTGATTGAAACGAAATAGTTGAATTTCCAAAAAATATATTAATTTCGCTGCCGTTGCGTTCGCTAACTTACGTACCGTCTCAATAATATAGTAGTAAAAACGTGCCAGTCGTCAGGTACAGGAAACAGGAGAACATGACTCTCGTTTTTTGCTACAATCAGCTATCTGTTGTTATCATCGTCGTCGTCCTCACTACCATCGTTAACTATTAGTGTGTTATTTGTGTAAACAACGTGTACGTATCTCAATGGACAAGAAAGAGTATCGTGAAGGAAAGAAAAGAAAAAAGCCTAAATATCGATTGAGCGTGTGTCTAAGTGATAGTTAGGGGGGTGTAAATATGTACAACTGTTTTTTGACCGGATATTTATCTAGCACTGGCGCTTTGAATTATGATTTTTTGTTTTAGCGAGCATTGATAACTCTACTAGCAGATTATTTCCTATGAGACACTGTGTATAAAAAATGCTAAAATTTTTCAAAGCTTAGCTTTGCTATGCTATTGAAAGTGGCTCGATGACCTTTTTCCTGTCATCCTAGATGAAAAGAAGCCTTGAGACGTGCAATATTGTAACACATTTTCCTAAAAGGCTTTAAATCCAGCAGAAAATTGCACATTTTGTTTGCACTTATTGTTATTACATACTGTCAGTGTGCCGTCCGTGTTGGTGCCAATTGAATCGGGAGCCATGTCATCCCGGAACGTATGTTTCGTATGTTTTTCAATACAAAAGATAACAAGTTCAAAATAAAATACCCGCGCTGTGTGTTGGCCCCGCGACTTTTAAATTTCGTATCATTTGTACACGTAAGTTACAGCCTAGTTAATGAAAACGTACATGCTGCAATACACTTCCGTAGTACAACAACGCGTGTTCCATTTTGCCTTAATTGTTCTTAACAGATTTTTGATCTTATCATGGATACATTTTCGTTCAAATTTATCCCCAGCCTGGACAGAAACAGCTAGCTGTACCTGTAAAAGAGCGTGACGTTTTAAGGTGTTATTATTTCTATTTTTCTTATACTTAAGTGGACTAATTGCATTGTTAGCAAATCTTGCTCGCTAGTTTGCCTATGAATCCTTCTGAGTCCCATGGATCGGGTGCATCGTTCCTACGTCAATCACGATCAAGTAGCATTGTCGTTCCCTCTAACAACTTGCAACTTAAATATTGATGTTTTCTGAATGAAGAGGCACTAGTTAAAAACAGTGGTACGAATAAACGTTCTAAATAAGGTTGGTTTTTTTTTGCTAAAAATAATAATAAATCATTCATGCTCCCATTACTGTAGAATTATTGGTGTTATGTACGGTGTTTATATTTTCTGACAAGGTAAGCGTACGTTTATCGACTCTCATTTGACATAATCCTATTTTATCGATTTGAAACGAGACGTTGCGTTTGGGCCTGCAAGGTGATATCGCGAAGTAATGCGATCTCCTTGTCAAACCTGGCCCAATTAATATGCCGTGTTACACTATTAATATGCGTACAAAACGGTCGGCTTTCGTTCACTACAAGGACTTTTCGCTAAAAAAAAAAAACGTTATTTTAGCCTGCTTTTTAAGGTCACCTACTACCTGTTACCTGCTCGTACGAGAACATGATTCTTCACGCTGTTCAACAAGGCCTGCACCACTACTATACATTCGTTGTCTCCGTGGGAAGTTCACTGGCTATAAGGCCTAACAATATTTTCCTGATCTTTCGCTTCTTCGCAGTTTCGTTGTTTCGCTATGTTTTTTGAGCACCGTTCCTACATTCGTGTATTTTGTGTCCTGTGTTCGCGTCTTAGCTGCGAATTAATTGAGAACTGTGAAGTCTATCGAGAATATTCTGCGTTCTGGGTTGTACTGATGACGGGGCATCTTTCGTGAATTCTATCCCTGTGCCTAGCATTAGATGCCCTAAATTAAAGTGAATCAAGACATCATATGATTCTCTATGTCCTAATACAGTTTAGCAATTTAGGCGAAACACGTACAACAGAGTGCAGTAACAGCATCGTTTCTACACCTTTATTCAACAAATAATATAGACAGACGTTTGCGAATCGAACATAACGAAGTCTATTGTTGAAGTCGATCTATTTCCAGTTCGCCATCCTATCGAAGTGCATCTACAACACGAAGTCGATCGTCGTTTAACGAACAAAGATTAGTATCTGGCGTAACATGTCTTCGGTGTCATTTTAAGCGAAAATGTTATAAACCATAGAAATTTACCTAACTTGACCTGAACTCTAATATAATAATATCGTGCCTTTATCATTATTATTGCTATTCCTTCAACTGCCTTTTACCTTGGAAAAAGAAAATCGTCAAATTCCGTCCGCGCGTCCCGGCAGATGCGCACGGAGCAATAACTGTCAGAGTACACTTTTACACCAGTTAAACTACAACAGTCGTTATACTTTTGCCAGCCGCTTAACTTATCTAACTTACATGTACGTATTGAATATACGGATATAGATTTAAGCTGCTTTCAAGTGCAAACATGAGAGTTTTCGATCGCTCGGACTAGCACAAAGCTAGTTGGGACACGGTTTTTAGGTGTGCACTTTTTACAACACTCGTATCTGCTTTCTCTCGAACATAGCCAATCGCTGGGCGACGATCGACAGTGATTAAAGGTAGTGTTGTTAAAAAAAAAAAAAAAATATTGCAGAAGAACGAAGCCGTACTTCCGAGTCGAAGGCGCCCTACCGATGTTGACGCATAAATTCTCGTAACATCTGTTGCCGCAAGGATCTGACCAGCAGAGAGTCGGAGGGGCTGATCATTTTTTGATTATTGTTCCCTATCTTCGTTTGCCCAACTGCATAAAACGTTGTTTCCACAACACTTGTGGCTACTTTCCATTGGCAGGCAGATTGTAACAGAGGGTAAAGTTTCACCTATACTAACGGGCGCGAACGATTATAAAAAGTATACTCAGCCGGTGTATTGGAATGAGGTGCTATTGAAATATATATCTCAATCGTCATAGCAAATACTTCTTCCGAAATACTCCCTTGAGTTATCTCTGGGCATGAACGATTTTTGAGAAAACTCGCTCTCGGCTCGAAAAAATTGATATTACTCACGCTTGCTATTAAAGTTTGTAAGTCTGTATCTAATGAGATTAGGTTGGTATTGGTTTTTTTGATCAAAGAATTTAGGATACAAAGTAAATATACAAGATAAAAAAATAAAATCGTTCTAGTATTGGCGTTCGATGCTACGATGTACACCATCGTAGAAGAAGTTACCAGCAGAAAATCCTATCCCTGGCTGACGGACTTGCTTATAGAAGAAGGCAGAATTGCTATCGGCGGCTGGCCTTAGAACGTCAAGGTTTTTGTGAAACCGTCCGACATTTTCACCTAGCCTACCTGTTAGATTTGATAGAAAACCAGCCACCTGAACGATTCCATCGCCGCCTAAGCCCATGCAAAAATTGTGTATAAGTTTAAAGGCACGTTTGCATTCTAAGCTTACTTGACATGCATGTAACTACGGCTTACCGTTAGTGCACACCAAGTCTACCTTGCTACTTACACAACACGTTACTTTGCAAGCTACTGTAGGTGATTTGATTATTTTTAAGTTGAGGAGTAATGACCTTAAATGTTCCTGAACACATCATTGCAAATGCTGAGACATCTTAGAAAATTATGCGGTCCTTTGCACCGCTTTGTTTCGATTTGAGAACAAACATTATTTAGTGAGCAAAATAGTAACACATTCACTCGGCAGATCAGGCTTGGATTTTCGCAAACTATACATTAAACAGCCCTGACAATGAAGGCAATCACAGAGTAAGCGAAATCGGGCATCGTTTAAACGTGCGGAGGATCGAACGAATATTGGTGGACTTATAATTTCATTCGTGTGATTTATTTGGAAATTTCTAAAATATTCAAAGATTGTATTTACTTAGCTACAAGAACAGGGCAGTGTTTCTTTTTATGTTATTTTCCAAAAAATTCATTTAAATTCGAAAAGTTAACGAACGCGAACGGAACACCGTGTGAGTAAATTTAAGTACAAATCGAATAACACAAGGGTGAACCACGATGACGATCGGATAAGTGTAATTGAAACTATGAGAATTTTATGTTTCTTTCGAATTACATCTTTAATTTGTCACTCACTGAAGTATTTCTAGACTTTATATGTACAGCTAATTTGGATACTGTTATTATTGGGACATTGAATAGGGTACGAGGTGCATTCATTGAAGGTTTTCACAGTGGGTCCCTTCAATTCTATACCGTAAACGCCAAGCTTAATAGCTGCTTAAATACCATTTGATGGAGTATATCCGAGCTATTAAAATTTGCCCTAGAGATCACTTGCAAGCTTTTCATGAAGAAGGGTGCCATGTTAGACTAAGCAATTATCTGTAATTTATTTGAATTTGGATCGTACGCGCTAAAAGTAAGTTTTATCAAGTAACTCTTGACCCCGTGAAGCTGAATCTTCGAAAGTTAGTGTTAGTATAAGCATTTAACATAACACTTGATTCTTCACTCATTATCGTTGTCACAATAATCGAAATGGCGCAAGATAACGCTGCTTTTGTGCGACGTAAAAACTCTAAGATGCTTGCCGCACCCGGAGGGCTTATCGTTCGACGTTACAGATAACCTGAAAAGTGCTATTTCACTAAACGGATGATTTGTAAGGTACACGGTCGCTTGATAACCTCGAAGGAAAAAACCCTTTTGTATTCAGCGGCTTCTTTCTGCTCGAATTTTCAAAAGCATTAATTGTTTCTTTATCGATTTTTTGCGAATTTATACGAACTACGAGCTAGATCTGTTTCACCAAAATATCAACAGCTTGCGCTAGATTCTCACAGCTTTGACAAGCATGATCTCCATATAGTTGTAGTGCCAATACAATGGCGATGCATCAAATGAACTGAAAGCTTGAAGAGGTTCGGTCATAATAGCCTGCCCGAAATCAGTGATTCCAATATCAGGGTACCAATAGGATTCCATGAGTTTGCTATTATGTATTTTTTTTTTTTGAGATTTGAGCTTTGTCACGAAATTTAAGTTTGGATCGGTAAGTTACCACAAGAACCCGGCACGATCTAGATTGTTTTACGCAACGAAGCTAAAGTGTTAAATATATCAAATAATGGCTTAACTGAGCAGAAAGAGCTTTTGATCAAATTATCGGAGATACGAAACTATTCGTTTCGTTAGCGTAAACGTAATTGGTTCAGATTAATTTCTGAAGTCATCTAGCTAGCTGAATGACGTTTGAAGATAGTTATTACATTGTGTACATGATTAAAAAAAATACTAACAATTTCTTCAGAATACCGGTCTACAGTGGGTCAACGTTAGCCTCGAAGAGAGCACGAAAGCTAGTCTGAAAATTTTGCATTGGATAAATGAATCAGTAGGATAGTAGTATATGCCCCTGTAGTAATTTCCCCGTATATTTATTCAGCAGTGTGCGCAGGCCTCATAGCAGTTCAAACTAAATGCCTAAACCGCTCAAATAATCCTTAATGAGTTCATGAGACACTATAAATTCGATAATCCAGTTGTCTGCTATCATACATTTCCAATCACTACTTATAATGAGATTATACCTGCGTATAATTAATACGTATTATTATAGTGAGATAATAAGTAGAATGTTTACCAGGCGCATGGGAATCGAGCAGTTGTTGTAAGAAGTAGACTGAATTAGCCAAATCATTACCTAAACTAGATAAGTTACGAGTCCGCAAACTACTTGTTTTTGTAATTCCGTTCAAGTTCTATAATTCTCAGATTTTATAGTAGTATTCTAAAATCTGGT